TCGTTCTCCTCCTCCTCCTCCTCCTCCCCCTCCTCTTCCTCCTCCTCTTTTTTGTTTTCGCTCTCTCTCTCTCTGTCTTTCCGTCTCCGTGTCTCCCTCTCTCTCTCAGTCTCTCTCTCTCTCTCTCTCTCTCTCTCTCTCTCTCTCTCTCTTATATATATATATATATATATTCTCTCTCTATACATATATGTATGTCGACAAACAAGCAAGCGCAAGTCATTTTCCTAACGGAACATAATATGGGCGAAGACGCCCGTGATCGCCTCTCCCTCCCCCTCCCCCGGATCACGTCACGCTATGTTGCCCATGCTCGCATTGACGTCCTACGGACTCTTCAAGTAGTTCATGAGATTTCCGGCGCCCCCCGCCGTGATGTGGTCGGGGGAGACGAGCTCCCCCCCTCCCCCGTTCACGCTCGTCATCGCGAACATGAAAGAAAACAAGTTCCAGAGTACAGCCAAGACGCTGAAGCAAGGAACAGTGTTGTTCGGACGGGGATTGATGTTTCTCAGGTCCTGCCATGGCTGTTTCCCCAGCGCCCCTCATCCTCGCAGGCGCCTTTGGCTCCAACATGGGACGTCTTTCCCCACGACCGTCAACCCGCATTGTAGGGATGAGAAGCTGTCCAAGGCTACCCTTGCATCTTTCCCCGTCGGCCCATCCTTGGCCGCATTCGTTCGCCGCGCCCCGCACGCAAAGTATCGGCAGGGCCTTCCAAGACCCTTGCATCCTTATTTTGCGCCCTTCTTGTGCGGGTTGACTGCATTCAGCGTGGGAGCATCAGCGGGGGCAAGTCCAATTCCAAGCTGGAGGCCAGCAAACAAATGACATGGTGACTGGATTCCGCGATCCTTCTTCCGCAGCCCGACTGCAGGAGGGCAGGGCGAAGAAGGGAGGGAGGGAGGGAGAAGACGGGAGGGAGGGGCGGGAGCAGGGGGAGGGGGAGGGGAGGGAGGGAGGGGAGGGAGAGGGAGGAGGGGAGGGAGAGGGATGGAGAAGGGGGAGAGGGAGGGAGAAGGAGGGAGGGGAGAGAGGGAGGGAGAGGGAGGGAGATGGGAGGGAGAGGGAGGGATAGGGAGGGGGACGAGGGGAGGAGAGAGGGAGGGAGAGGGAGGGAGAGGGAGGGAGAGGGGGAGGGAGGCAGGGGGAGGGAGAGGAGGGAGCGAGGGAGCAGGGGGGGGGGGGGGAGGGAGGGAGAAGACTGGAGGGGGAGGGAGGGGCCACGACGGCCAGCCGCCCTCCTCCGCCCCCCCGCCGCTCTCCGCCTCCGCCCCCCCCCCCCCCACCCCAGGGGCGAACCGCGGCGATAGCGGCGGGCTCCTCCTCCTCCTCCTCCTCCTCCTCCTCCTCCTCCTCCTCAGGCCTCCTCCTGCTCCTCCCACTCCTCCTCTTACTCCCCCTGCCCCGTGCTTATCTACCCCTGCCCCTCCTCCTCCGGTCCCTCCTCCTCCTCCTCCTCCTCCTGCTCCCTCTGCTCCTTCTCCTCATCCCCTTTTTCCTCTCTCTCTCTCTTGTCCCCTCGTCGTCGAAGAAGAAGAATAAGACGAAGAAGCAACGCCTGTGTAAACAGAAACCTTCGGAGTTCCGCGCGGAGATCTCTTGGATCGGCTCTTCCTTTTCCCTCCGCATCTTCTCGCACCTCCTGAGCTGTTTCGTCTCGAGTTTGGAGCATGTGTGATTTGCGTCTGCCGCTTGTGCAGCGGGGGTGCCCTGCCGGCGAGATCTCAGCTCCACATGTTCGTCTTTGTCACGAAGCCTGGCAAGGACAATTATGCCGACTGCGCGGGCGCGTACATGTTGGATTCGGATCAGGGGACGATAAACGGCAAGCCGATCTACATCAACGAGAGCAGGACAAGGCTCTTTTCGGTAGCAAATCATGGGAGCTTGGTGTACCCTCTTGGTTCCGTCCTCAGCGTCGATGAACGTCGATTAGCGTTTGGGAGTCGATGAGGTAGCGCCGATTTAGCGTCAGGCAGCGTTGACTTAGCGTCGATCAGTGCCGACTTAGCGTCGAGTTGCGCCGAATCGCAAGAGCCGGCAAGATGCCATGGGCGGCTCCCATGATTGGCCACCGAAGGTTCTTGGCCTCCTGCGGTGACGACTGGGTGATCACTGGAATCCACTGGCTCCCCAGCGTCAAGGACGAGGGGGGCGCCTTCGGCGGCCTCCACAGCGGCGGGGGCGCGGAGCCCGACGCGGGCGAGTGGGACGCGTACGTGGTGCAGCGCGGAGGCCAGCACGGGGCAGCCAGCGGGGCCGAGGCCCGCACGTCTGAGGCCCAGATGTTCGTCTTCGTGACCAGGCCTGGCAGGGACAACTATGTTCGGCGGCGAGCGAGGGGGGGGGGGGAAGTGAGCAGGAGAAGGCCTTCTCAGAGGGCTCGGAAGTCCCATGGCCCTCCGAGAAGTTTCCTGAGCCTTCCCCGAAGACACAGAAAACTTCTCAGAAGGCGGGAGGGCTACTGAGAAGTCCCGCCGCCTTCTGAGAAGGCCTTCTCCTTCTCACTTTCCCCCGGCTCGCCGCCGATATGCGCGAAGAAGATGGCACTGCATGACTATAAACTGTTGGAGGTCCGCGCGGATTTCTTGGATCTGCGCTGGACGCGGCGCCAGAGGCGCCGCCAGGGGGCCCAGCGCCGATCCAAGAAGGCCGCGCGGACCTCCGAAAGTTAATGTTTACGCAGTTGTTTTTTCTTCCACATGCCGACTGCGCGGGCACATACACATTAGATAGGAGCCAGGGGACAGTCAACGGCAAGGCAGTTTACATCAACGAGGGCAGGACACGATTCTTGGCCGCTTCCGGTGACTGCTGGGTGATCACTGCAATCAGTTGGCTCCCCAGTGTCAAGGGGAAGGAGGGCGCCTTGGGTGGCTTTCACAGCGGCGGGGGCGCGGAACCCGACGTGGGCGCGTGGGATACTTACGAAGTGCAGCGGATCATTCAGCTCACGTTCACAGCGAAGCGTGGCAGAGCGGAAGGTGCCGATTCACATGTGAGCGTTTTCTTTCCCCCCCAGGGTGGCGCTCGTTACCCGGCCCCCCCCGCCTCCCGGTTAACTCAAACGATCGTAATACGATCGTTTGAGTTAACGGTATTGGGGGGGTGGCCTGCACCCCCCCCTTACATGCTGTGGCGTGCACAGGCGATTGATGCGCCAGTGGCGCGGACGCTCCCTGGCGGGTGCACGCCGCGGCCGCCGTGACCTTTACCTCCCGCCCGACACCCCCTGGCTAACGACCGTTATCCGGGAAAGAGAAAACGGTCATTATGCCGGCACGTACACACTCGACGTTGACCTGGGTAAGATCAATAGCAAAGCGATTTACGTTAACAGACAAGCGCGTACATTTTTATATGCGTACGATGATTTTTGGATCATTAGTTCGCTCGAGCATTTGTCCGAGATCAGGGCCACGCAGGGGGCTGACGGATGTCTTCATGTTGGCGGAGGCGCTGAACCAGAAGATGGGGAGTGGGAGCATTACGTTGTCACGTGCGCTGGCCGGGAGGATCCGTTGAGACGTCTCGCTGAAAACAATGCGACATGGGCGAAGTTCGAGAATTCTACGTCCGTCTTTCAGTCAGTAGCCAACTCAGGCGTGTGCCGTTCAGAGTCGGACTTCTTGAAGAATCGTCTACGGTGCTTGCAGATAGATTGTGGAGGCTTCGCGTGGCGGAAGCCGCACTTCAATCAGTTTGGCGAAGAAGACGAACCGCCCGTATGTTTCTTTTTCCGCAAATCGCAGGGTCAGTTGCAAGGGTCGATGAAGAGTGATACTCGGTATGATCTCTACATTGCGCCAGATTCGTTCTGCCCCGCTTGCGAATGGAAGCCTGGCCGTGACCCGGCGCCGTCGGTGCACTGCTGGTGGGATATTGGAAACCCCGTTCACGCCTTCGCCTGCCAGATCCGCGTCGCTGAACCCTCCCCATGCACGTACTATGCGACCTGCGGTTTTAGCTCGAAGAACAAACGATGGCATAAAACACATAATTTTCGAAGGTCGGCGCGGATTTTCGGGATCGGCGCTGGGCCCCGCCTGGCGGCGCCTCCGGCGTCGCCCCTGGGGCGCTCTGAGCTCCAGAGAGGGGGTCCAGCGCCCACCCAAGAAATCCGTGGAGCTCCGAACATTTATGCTTGTGCAGTTCTTTTGTGCTTCTGTCAGTGGAGGGTATTGTGGCATCCAGCAGCACGACGGCACCAAGCAGCAGGTGCTCTTCTCCCTGTGGGACCATCCGCAAGCGGGACTCCGCGTCCAGAACCGCAGCTTGTGCGACGGCGTCGTTGCCAGTCCTTTCGGCGGGGAGGGCAAAGGCATGGGGGCGTACTGCGTCAGCGGCTCGGGCGCGCCGGAAGACTGCGAGCTTGCGGCGTGGGAGCCAGGAGCGACCTACACCTTTGCCGTGCAGTCCGCGGCCGTCGACGGCGGCTCGGAAGTCACGTGCTGGTTCCACAAACCGGACAGCGGTTGGGTCGAGTTCGCGCGGCACTTTCGCCCAGAGCCGGCAGACGAGGAGGGAGGTCGGCTGTCGGGCCTCTACAGCTTCATCGAGGACTTCGGCGGCAACTCGGTGCGCCGCTCCGGGCTGTACGCGGCGTGGGTGCAGGAGTCGCCGCGGGGCCCGTGGCGCCCGGTCAAGGGCGTCCGCGGCACGAGCACTGCCGAGGCGGACGTGCCCAACAAGCGGCTGGCCGCCGTCGCGTGCGGGGACGGCTACCAGCGGGTCGAGCTGACCACCGGCGGCGACGCCCTGCCGAGCTGCGGCCTGTTCGCGGGGGCGCTGGAGCTGCCCCCGGCGCCCGCGCTGCTGCACGAGCTGCGGGCAGCCTTGTAGCCCGGGCGTGTGCTGGAGCTCGGCGTGCCCCAGCTGGACCAGCCACAACCCGGGCAGCCGCGTCCCCCGAATTCGGCTTCCCAGATGGGGTCCGAGTACGGTAGGTTTGCGTCGTGTCGACCAGCGGCGACCCCAGCGCGGACGTTCAAGGTTGAACGCCGCCGGCGACCCAGAATCGATCGATGTTGAACGATCGGACGTTGCGGCAGCGGCCGATCGTTCAAGGTTGAACGATCCCTGCGGTGTCAAAAACCAACGCTGGGGTCGGCACGACACGAACCTGCCGTAGATGGGGTCGAATGATCGCGCCGCATCGCCGATGCATCGCCGATGCATCCATCGCCGCTGCATCGCCGACACATCGCTGCTGCATCGTCGATGCACCGGCGACGTTGGCGATGCATCGGCGACGTCGGCGTGGAGAACGTCGGGTTTCATATCTAGCCGCATCGCCCGAAGGCGGATGTCCTGTGCTTCCGCATGCGGAAGAACAGGGCCTCAGGGCCTCAGCCTTCCCCAGCAGTCAGTGGGGCACGACGCCCGAGGGGGGAGAGGAGGCCCACAGGTGCATCGGGAGCGGGAAAGGTGAGACGAGTGGAAAGACGAACGATGATGAGGCAGGAGGAGCATTGGCACCAACAGACTGGAAGCCGGAGGATGCAAGCTATGCTTTGGTAACTGAGGTTCTGATGGTTGCCGCCGTGGATGACGTGAGATCGTAATCGAGGCCATCTTTGTAGTAGTATTGTCCATTACTAGTACCACTGCCGTTTTAGTGTCCATCATCCCCAGCGAGGGCTGCCATCCTCAAGTCCCGTTGGGATCGTTGGCTTCGCCGTAGGCGGGGCCTTCTGATGAGGTACCTGGGGTGTGGGGGGGCGCTGCAGGTGACGCCTTGCGTTCTGGTACTGGGAACTTGGTCTTCGGTCTGGTTGGCGCTGCCATGGCTGTAGAATGTTTTTGTTGTTGTCGTAGTTTTGCGCGGCGTAGGTTGCGCTGTCGTACTTCAGACAAACGCTGCTGGTATTGCATCCGGTGGTTCCGTCAGGTTTCGTTGTAATCAAGAGCCTTTGAACGTTGTTGTTGTGGACTAGTATGTTTCCAAGATTGTCCGTGAGTGGAGTCAATGGGGTGGCGGTAGCACTTGTTTGTCCGTCTTGGTTCTGAGCTGGTGGCGCTTTGGGTGGAAAGTAAACCTGCCTCGTGGCGAGCGTTCGAGGTGCGAGCTCTGACGTTGGTGTATCGTGGATCCATCGTTGAGCTCTGGCGGCTTCTGGTAGTGGGCATACTATTGGAATCCTGAGGCTAGGTGGTGGTGGGTGATTCGGGCTTCTGATCGTATGGGTGGTTTGCGGCTGGATAGTATTGGTGTTGCTCGCTGGTGCTGGCTGATATGGTGTGCCAGTGTCTGCTGGCTGCCTGTAATTGGCTGGTAGGTGGTGGTGGGTTTGTTGTGGCTGGTTGGTTAGTGCTTGTTGGGTGGTCTTTGGTGCTGTCTGGCTTGTGGTAAGTAGTGGTGGGTCGTCGTTGGTGGCGCCGCTGGAATTGGTGCTCGTTGGTGTATGACTTTCGATGTAATCGACGTTTTGCTTGTAGGTTGGATCGCAAATATGCTGCAGTGGGTGTTCTGTGTCGTCAACGCGCACAGCCCAATCGTAGCTCATGTTATCCGCATAGTCGAGACATGACCAGAGCCGTTGTGAGAAAGTGGGTGTAGCCTGCTTTGCCGTCTCGTGCATCCTCGCTGTTGGGTTCTGCATTAGGGTCATGAGGTGCCTGTTGGTGAGGTTGACTGCCAGCCTGAACTCCTCGTTGGATATGTAGTCGTTCTCGAAGTCGCACATGTAGTTGACGATTGGCAGTCGTACTCGGTCGTTCGGCCGCTGCTTCCATGTGGTTGTCTGCGGGTGTTGTGTCTTTGAGCTACAAGTGCTTTGTCTGCTCTGTCGGTGGCAACTTGAACGTATAGAGTGGGGCCGCTTGCGGATCAGGGTTCAGATGCGGGTGGGGCAGGTATTTCTGGGTGCGCTGACTTTGTTGAGTCGGGGGCGCGATGGGCGTTGGCGTCTTGGCCTTGGGTAGTGGTGTAGGTGCGTGATTGGGTGGTGGCGGTGCCCTTGCTTGTTGGTGGTCCCTCTTGGGTCTGAAGTCGAGCTGTGGTATGTATTTTTGTGGCGGTGTCGGTAGTACATGTCCAGGGCAACGCTTTCGCAGTTTGTCTTCGTAGTCGTAATCTGCTTGTTCATATTTTCGTTGTTGCTCCAGCTGTCCTTGAATCATTTCGTAGTGGGGGTTGTCTGGTCCGATGTCGGTCGGTATTTCGAGCAGCGGCGTACGTATGTATTCCGGTGGCCTAAAAACGAAGCTAGTGCAGCGTGGGTGAGGACTTTACATTATCGGCGTGTGCCTGGTCGTGTTGCTGTTCCTGGTCACTGGTTGCATGTGAGTCTGGGTGTAGGTGAGTTACTGGTATTGGTGTAAGTCGCCCAATGATTTGTGGCCAAGCCAGGTTGTTTGGTGTAGGTGCCTGGAACTCAAAATGTGTTGGAGGTCTTGGATGTTGTGGTGCTTGTGACGGCTGCGCTCTTACTGAGCCTATCTTCTTGTTGAATGGCTCCGCTGTGTGGTCGTCGACGTCTTGTAGCTCCACGTCGGGCAGCCGGTAATAGAGTGGTGGTGTGATGTGTCGGTGTGTCTTGTCCGCGATCGAAGTGGCCCACGGTGGGAGTAGTGCTGCCGTACCCGATGTGTGAAGTACGGCTGCTAGTAAGTTAATGAGTGAAGGAGCTCGGACACTGTGACGATGTTGTTCTCAGGGTTGGTCATGGAGCTCAGGAACGCGTTGGTGACGCTGGAATGGTACGTGGTGTGTGTACCGCTGTGTTGATCGATGTTAAAGTGGTAGCGCTTCTCGCGCTTCTGGTTGTACATTTTGTACGGCGCCTCTACCATGTCCTTTCCCGTGCCGTCCTTGTTGTAGTGAGTTTGTCTCAGCCGTACTCTGTTGTGCTCTATGTCGCGGTTGATCTTGTCCCATGGTTTGTCAATCATAATTTCACGTTCGTACGTCGTGGTCGGTAGTGTCGTTGGGCATGAAAGGTTGTCCGTCCTGTCGATAGTCGGCGCGTCTGTAGAATTGTTTTTTGTATGGCCTCTCAGCCCAGTGGCTCTAGATGCTAGTGTGTGAGTTCGTGTTGATCCATTGATGTAGTACACATTCCAGTAGTTGGAGGTATCTCCTGGTTCACGTCGGGCAGGTATGCAAATTCAATGTGGCTTTGCAGTGCTGTACGTGCCCATTCCTTCTGGATAGTAGCAGGAATGTACTCATATTCCAAGTGGGCAGATGCTTACGAAGTGTTTGTCGAGGTCGTCGTTGCTGACTTCGTCCTGCTTGTGTTTATGTACCTGAGCTCTTAAGTAAATGAGCAGTGCTTGGATCGTTGCCAGTCGGTGTTGCTGTGCGTTGTAATGGTTGGAGTGTTGGTCGGCCACTTGAGCTGAGTAGTGGTTGTACGTCGTCGTTGCCGTCGACCTCGTTCTGCTTGGCAGTGGTACGGTACTGTTCTTCACGTAGTGTATTCCGTTTTGTTGTATGTAGGTTTTCTGTTTTCTCGTTGTCGGTGATGTAGATTTCCAGCGCAGGGGCGTACATAAAGCGAAGGGAGGTTGACCATTGCTCAGTGTGGACAGCGAGGATGTCCTCTGATGTGGCCGTGTATGGTACATGGCCAGGGCCATTTTGCATGAATCAGGAGATATGGAGGGTACCATTAAGCGCTAGTGAAAACATCGCTGGTTTGAGCCAGTTGCTGCAGCTGCAGGTCGATCATAGGACTGAGGGCTGCGACCATTCCATATGTGATGTAAAATGGCAGTCGAGCAATCTGTTTTGGGAAGCTGATGGCGCTCAGCGTGCAATGTTTGTGGTGAAATCGAGGTTGCTGCCTGGTGAGTAAGCCCGTTGAGCCCCTCCCTGATGTATGCCTTATCGGCTCCCGTACCAGGTATGGGGCGGACAGCATACTCTGCAAGGTCATCTGTCGAGTTGGTCCTACAGTTTAGATGCTGTGTAGTCGTCGTATATGTTGGTGCTGTGGTTACTGTTCGCCTTAGGTGTCCTTCCCGGAGGTGTGCCCGCAGGGCTCCTTCAGGTATGAGGCAGGCGAGAGGCTGTGCCCCTGAATGCAGATATCCCAGTCCATCGTATCCCAGTCCATTGTCTCTGTACTGTCCAACTGAGGTTGTATGATGCTGGTCTGTGGGTCGTGCTCGGATGCTGTATACGGTGCTGCGTGTGTTGCGTCGTATGCTGCTTGTGTGTTGGGAATATACAGTGACCGATCTTCCGCGCAAGGCCGTGACTGACAATGAAACCAGTTGGATGCGCCCTCAAGTCCGTACAATGAGAAACAATGAGAAAACGTTAATTGAGGCAATATCGAATGATCGATACCGTTAACGTTAATTGAAAACGTTAACGTTATCGATATCGAATTAAAACGTTAATTGAAAACGTTAACGTTCCTCCTCCTGCTCCTCCTCCTCCTCCTCCTCCTCTTCAGCGCGGGGGGCCGCCGCCGCCGCCGCGCGCGCGCGCACCGCCGCGCGGTGCTGGCGCATGGCGGCCCTGGGCCCCCGCCGCTCGCCGCGGGGCCCCCTGCGCAGCCGGGGGCCCGACGCGGCCGGCCCCGCGGCGAGGACGGGATATGGCGGCGGGGAGCGGCGGGGGGGGGCGGGGAGGGTCACGGGGTTCGCCACCTTCGGCCCTCCTCCTCCTCCTCCTCCTCCTCCTCCTCCGCCTCCTTTTCCTCCTCCGCCTCCCTCGTCCTCGTCTTCGTCCTCGTCCTCCTCCTCGTTCTCCTTCTCGTCGTCCTCCTCCTCCTCCCCCTCCTCCTCCTCCTCTTCCTCCTCTTCCTCCTCTTCCTCCTCTTGCTCCTCTTCCTCCTCCTCCTCTTCCTCCTCCTCCTCCTCCTCGCTCCGCCCTTCCGTAACCATTTTGGCTCAAGTCCGTAGCGGGAAGCTCAGCGACTTGAGGTGTGGCAAGGGGGAGGTGCGCCCGCACCAGCGATCCCTGTGCCGCGCCCAGACTTTCACACGGAGCCCGTTCAGGGCTACTCCAGTACAGTACGTTGTGCCTCACGGGTGGTCAAGGATGCGACGTAGCAGTTCCTCGCGTGCACGAGCTGTTGCTACCACGGGGTCTTGACATCGAGATCTGAGTGCTTCTCGTGCGGCTCTGCCCTCGCTCCAGCATTCCAACCGCCGCGGCGAAAGGCGCAGAGAGTATGGTCGGAGTCAGGTGGTGAGGGCCAGTGGCAGCGGCAGCCAGCCCAGCCGCCAGGGTCTGAGGCGCCTTCCCTCATGCAGGCACCCAAACCTTCGGCAACGCCGCCGCGCGGAACGGGCACTGCCTTGGTGGCCGAGCTCCTGCAGCAGCTCTAGCAGCGCGTCGGCAAGGATGCATGGGCCCAGGAGCTCCAGGCCCTGCGCCTGAGCCGGCTGCCGCGCCTCGGCAGCCGCTGGTGGAGGAGACCATCAGTGCGAAGGGGGTTGCGTGCCGCAGGGCCGAGACGGCGCTCGAGCAAGCGGTGCAGCAAGAGGACGAGGCGCGGAGGCCAAGGCAGAGTGGCAGGCTGAGCTCATGGCGGAGCTCCAGCGTGAGGCGCCGGGTACAGCTGGGCCAGATGCGACGCAGGTGCCAGCAGGTTCGCACATCAACCTGTCGCAGCTGCTCGCTGATGGGAGCGGTTTCGCCGCGGCCGAGATCGTAGACGGAGACCTACTCGACCCCGGCGGCCTGGAGGTTGAGGAGGCCGAGCGGGGCAAGTGGTTGGAGCTCAAGGGCAACGCGGCCAAGGAGCTCCAAAAGGCCATCGCGGCAGCTATTGGGCCGAGCGCGGAGAATATCCATGAGCTCCGTGCTGAGGCAAGGGCGATCCGCCAGCGCTTGGCTGCCAAGCGGGCCCGCAAGGATGACGCGGCGTCCGTCTCCAGCGGGGGGCGGGTCATCGATTCCTGGGGGTGCTTATGTTCCTCGTCCTGCCGATGCGAGCGCAGGAGCTGGTGCCAGCGCAGGGGGAAGTTCAGCCGGGCTCAACATCTGCGGCCGCCCCAGGAGCACAGCAGCAGCAGTCAGTGGCAGCAGCGCCCACCGCTGAGGAGCTGCAGGCGTCAGTCGCGGCAGCCAGAGCGAACTTGGCTGGGGGCGCCCCAAGAGAGTCTTTAGTGCGGACCCGCCGCTGCAACGACTGATGGGGGGGCCACCTCAGGTAGCTGCCCCGCGGGCAGGCCCAGACAGAACCAGGCGTGAGTTTGAAGCGAGGATGAGCTGGGGCACCATGAGGATCTGGAACGTCATAGGAGAGGAGCGCGTGGACCAAGGCCCCCGGCAACAATGTTGCTCGGAATGCCGCGCCAGCTTTTTGGTAAAATCCAGGCGGTGCGCAGCCCAGGCGGGGCGTGATCAGGAGGCGCAGCGGTCGCCTCGGGTGGGGCCGAGGGCGCGAGAGCCCCGGCGAGCTGGAGCAGGCGGCCATGGAAGTGCGCAGTGAAACCTGGTCGAGGGGCATGCGGAACAGGCGAGCCGTTCGAGACATCATGAAATCCCCCGTCGGTTTGTTGCGGAAGGCCTTTGCTGAGCATCGCTGGAGGGGGCCTGGAAGGTAGGTGGGCCTTTTTCGCGAGCGGCCTGCGGGCAGGAGACAGCGGCGCGTTTCGGGGCCGACGGGGGCCCCTGGGGGCGCCCAGCCGAGGGCAGAGCCTACAGGGGGGCAGATGGCCTTGTATCGAGGCCGCAGACATGCAGGTGGTCGATGCCCTCGATCAGGTCCGGCTTCCTCGCTGGGCCGCAGATTCGCGGGCGGTCGATGCCCCAGAGAGGAGCGGCTTCCCACGCGCTTGGGCCCCCAGAGGTCCTGGGGGAGCCCACCGCGGGGCAGACCCTGAAGGGGGCAGCGGTCCACTGAACGAGGCCGCAGACATGCGGGTGATCGTTGCCCCGGCGCGCGGGCGGTCGACGCCCTCGGTCGAGCTCAGCCTCGCCGCAGTGCCGCGGACGCGCGGGTGGCCGGAGCCACTGCGGTGAGCGCCCCCTTCCCAGGCTGCGGGGCGAAAGGGCGCCCTGGGGGGGCCCGCGGCGGGGTTGCCCCGAAAGCTAGGGGCGTTGACGAACACTCGTCTGCGGCGAGCCAGTTGCAGGTCAAGCCAAGACGTCTGAGGGCGACGAACATGATTGCGGATCACGGCGGTCGCCTACTAATGCCTGGAAGGAGGCCAAGAAGCATCCTTAATTGGCTCGCGAGGCCAACGGGGCGCAGTTCGATGCTTGCCTCAAAAGCGAGCGCAGGCTGGTGGAGGCCCAAATCGAAGCGGCGAGAGCTTGGGCACATCGGCGGGGGGATGTGTCGGAATGGGTGGTGGCTGTCACGGACGTCGCCCATCGCGAGCTGCCGCTTCTTCCCGTCTCGGTTGGTGGCCACGCCGCCCTAGTGAGCCAACTTTTCCTTGCCCGAGCGCATCAGTGAACTGATGGCCTCAGCTGTTTGCTTATTTTTTATTTAGAGGCGGCTGTAACATCCACGAAGATCTCGGAGCGCCCCAGTGGACAGAGCACTTGGGGGCATCGTCGTTGCGGCCTCGGGAAGCCAGGTGCAATCAACTCTGCTATGGCTCTTGTGGCCAGCTGGTGTTTCGACCACCCTGTCGCAGACCGTCGGGCTCAACTAGGCGCGCCCGCGCGCGGTGGGGGCGCTGAAGCTCGAGCAGGCGGCGGGACATGCCGACGTTTGGCAGGGGCCCCTGCCGGCCGCCAATCTCACTCCGCGTCGTGGCGAGGAGCGGGGCACAATGCATCTGGCAGAAACAATAGGAAGGTTCGTCCTTGGGCGGCCTTCAGCCCCGCGCTGCGATGGCATCTCGCATCTAGGCAGCGGAAGCTGCGCGAGGGAAAGTTCACAGCATCACTTCTCCGAAGCACCTTGGCCGAGCCAAGAGCGGCCGAGCGCAATTATTAGTTTTTTTTTTTGGGGGGGTAGAGGGCGTCGCTGGAGCGGTCGGGAGTAACGGGGCCTTCGTGCGATATCGCCTTCTTTCGCAGCCCGCAGGGCCACCTTCGCAGCCGGGGGAGTTTCGGATTTGTCTGACTTGGCAAACGTTGGGCAAGGCAGAGGCTGGCGAGGCCAGAACAGGACGGTTGGAGGCCGCTCGAGGAGCCGCTGCTTGCTAGGCGTGATCAATAGGAAGGGGGGGGGGGGCGGCGACTGTCTGGAGTTGGGGGGGGGGGGCGGGGCAATGTGTCTCGCGTGGCCTGTCCATGGACGCGCGCTGGGTTTGTTCGCCTGCGCGGGCAAAATTCAAAGCTGCCGAGCCGCTGTCTCATCTGCGGGGAAGTGCCTGGCGCCCTCGTCCACCGTCTTTTTCAATGCCCAGCGTGCCAGGGGTGGAGGCGAGACGCCCTGCCCGCGGCGTTGATCGACCGCGCGCGGATGCTCGCCATGCACCCGATTGAGCTGGCACGGGGTGGCGAAGATGTCGCGTTCCAGGTGGCTTTGGGTCGCCAGCTGGGCATTTGTTCGTTTTTTTTCTGAGTGCAAAGTCTGGCGGCAGTGCGGGTGGAGCCCAGATGTCGCCAGAAGGCCACCTAACATCTGCCCCCCGTCGCAGGGAGCGCGCATTCGCAGATGGTGGACCGCCTGGGATTGTCTGCAAAAAGGTGGGGGGCACACGCTAGCACGACGGATGCGCGCGAAGGGCACATCGCGTTCCCTGCGCGTGGAGGTAGCAAGGTTGCCAATCGGGTGGCAAATCAAGGAGCTAGGCTGGCGAGGAGAGATCCGCCGGTCGCATTCATGTCTATGTGCTTGCTATCCTTGGAAGGGGCCCTGCTCCGATTCAGCAGCAGGGCCGAAGCCCATTGAGAAGATCTAGGGGGTGCGTTTATCCTGGGAGCCCAGAGTCTAACCATGGCCTCGTCAGAGGGCGGTTCCGCGGGAGGAGGTTATGGTGGAGCTGTTGAGGGGGCGCGGGGGCTGCGGCTGCCCCCCCCCCCCCCCTCCGCCTGACCCCCCCCCCGTCGGCTGGCGGCCCGAACGAGCAGCGGGATCCAGAGCAGGTCACGATTGCCATAGACTCGGGCCAAGGACCCTGGGTTTCCAGGGGGCGTCCTTTGCTGGAGTTTGATGCGGCGGCCGAAGGCCAGCCGCCGATTTTGGTATGTTCCGCTTACGGAGGCTATGCTTCGAAGTTCGCTAGTCTCTATGCGGCTCCGAGTTGCCTGCGGCGGCTCCCAGCGAATTCTGGTGGACCCTGGCATGATGAATCCCAAGGCTATTCTTATGGGCAAGCACCCAAACGGATCTCTCAGACTGGGACCTCAGAGGACTCCCGGAGTCGCGGCTTGGGAGTTGGTGGGTGGTTCTTGGACACGTCCCAGGGGTCCAGGGAAAAGAGGTCTGACACAGGCCAGATAGAGGCCCGCGTGTTTTTGTTTGCCCTGCTTACGTTACCCAAGCCTTTGGGCTAAGCGAGCTGGAAGCGCAAGCCCTTGGAGAATGGAGCGAGCGCCCTGAAGACCAGGGCTTCGGAACCGATTCAGGTGGCTGATAGATCCTTCAGGGGGGCCTTGTCGCGGGCCATGGGCAGGTCTTTGGCCGTCCTGTCTGTGGTCGGCAACATTCCACTTGGATGCCCCCCCCCCCCCG